GCGTCGTTTAGGATGGCTTCTCAAAAAAGCGATGTTGAAATCGGGGGGCGTCGGTTTAGATAAGAAAATGTGTAAACAAAATACCTATCTATTTAGATCCGAAAACTGGGACTGTCGATTTAGATCGTAGAGGTCTCAACAGATCGGAATCGATAGCCTGTCTGGATAGAGCGGAAAATATTCTCATGGCACCAGGCCTGAGGTCTTCTTCTTCTTCACGATGCAGACGCCCTTCCCAGCAAGACAGGTCTCTTCGAGGAGTCAGTGCTGGTGGATCTGCGCGCGTTCCTCAACCCCTTCCTGGAGGCGCTGAAGCTGGCGACCAGGCCAGGAGGTGCTGTGGCCGTTCAGCCCCGCGGCGCTCAGGACGGTCTTCGCGCGGGCGGCGACGTTGCTGGGCCTGGAGAGCTCGAGGCCTAACCCTTACTCGCTGCGCCGCGGCGGAGCGTCGGGCGACTAGCTGACCCATCGTCGCTCAGTCGAGCGGGTGAGACGCCGTGGAAGGTGGATGGCTGCCTCATCAATGGCCAGGTACGCCAAGGAGTCGAAGCTGCTGCGGGAGATCAGCCTCGCGCCGCTCGCCAGCTTCAGATTCGGCGAGGTGGCCGAGCGCGGCTTCCAGCTGATCGTGGAGCGCGGCTTCATCCAGTCAGGGGATCGACCAGGTGCCCGACCAGCTGCTGTTGCAGGTCAGGCGGTTGGCCGAGGCGGGGCGCGCTGGGCCCCCGAGTTCCGGCTCCCGGAGCTCCGCTCCAGCCGCCCGCAAGCGGCCCGCGGGCAGCACAGCGGGCGCCCGCCGGGCGGTCCGCCGCCGCTGAGCCGCGCCGCCGCTGGCGTTGCGCGGCGCCTGCGGCAGGAGTTCCAGGCTGCGCTGCGCGGCGCGACTCGCCGCCGCCGCTGCATCTTCCTGGAGCTGTTCGCGGGCTCTGCTGGCGTGGGGCGACAGCTGCGTCAGGCTGGCTACGCCGTCGCATCGCTCGACGTCTTGATGGTGATCTATTTGTGAATCCGGGTAATCTACTTGCGAAGGTTGTCGAGAAGCTGCTGCGAGGGCGGGTCTCCTCGGGCGCGGTGCTTGGCGCGTGGCCTGGCACTCCGTGCGCGACCTGGTCGCAGGCATTGAGGCATGCTGCTGCGCTCCTGATGTTCCGATGGGTCTCGTCTCGCTCTCGCCCTCGCAGCTCGCTGGGTTGAAAGTTGGCAACGCTACTTTCCATGTGTCTTGTCGTTTCATTGTTTGCTGTGGCAAGGTAGGTGTTCTTGTGCCTTCAGAGAATCTGGATCGATCTTTGATGTGGGAGGCTTCTCGCATGATTAACTCGAGGCGTGCTCGCGACTGTTCCGAGGCCCGTTTGCACCGGTGTCAGTTTGGAACCGCTCGGAAGAAAGCCAATAGAATCGTTTCCTGGCGAGGGGGGGGCCTTTCTCGCCTTCAGCGTTTGTGCCATGCCGACGGCAAGCGATGCTCCAAGACAGGCCGAGCCCATCAGGAGCTCTCCGGGCACGCGCCCGGAGGACGGCACTGGACTGCAATCGTTGCCGCTTATCCTCGCCAGCTGTGCCGCGCCATCGTTTCCTCCATGATTGATGCCGCTGAATCGTTGCGAGTGTCCGTTTTTGTGGAGAAGATGTAACCTTGAGTTGTTCCGTGTTCGGGTTGTTTTTCTGCCTGCGGCCAGATTTGTCCACTCGGGTCTGGGAAGCTCCGAGTTGCGTCTGGGCGCGAATTCTTCTCCGCTCGGCTCGAAATGATGCGCCTTGCTCCAGACACGATACAACGTGGAACTGGCGATCCTGGGATCTGCGGGCTAGATCTTTGGCCGCTTTTAACACACAGCAGTGATGTGCAGAGCAGTTGGATGATCGCCGCGTCGACGTTGCCCGTCGACGTACTTGCTCAAGTCTCCCTCCTTCCCTGTCCCCGATTTCGCCTTTTTGCTCCCATCACTTCGATCGCCTGCATTATTTTGTGAGCGTTTCTCTTGGAATGCCTTCTCACGTGCCGCTGCTTCAGGGAAGCTCCGAGTTGCGTCTGGGCGCGAATTCTTTTCCGCTCGGCTGGAAAATATGTGCCTTACTCCAGACACGATAAAAAGTGGACCTGGCGATCTGAGGATCTGCGTGCTAGATCTCTCACGCACGTAAAATGCCTTGCAAGTTTGTGTGTGGGGGCGGGGGCGTTTCTTGGAGCCGCCAAAGCCCCGAAACGGCGCCGGAAGGCCCCCGGAGAGCACCGAAACGGCACCGGGGTTCCCCAGAAAAGCCCCCGGACGGCCCAATGGAGCCCCGGGACGACCAAAGACAGTTCCGAAACGATTCACAACGGCTTTCAGACGGCCCAAGATGATCCCATGACGGCCTCCCGCAGCCCGCCATGACGTTCCAGGACGGTTTCGAGGGGGTCTTGGAAGGCCCCAACAGGCCGAAATCGCAGATGTCCCATCGCATCCCCGCGAATTCTGAGATTCTCGCGCTTTGAACCGTCTGGACCGCCAAGCTGGTTCAAGAGAAGAGACCTCCAGGATCGCCCCGATACGTCCCAAGACGCGCCTAAGAAGGCCAGAGAACAACCCAATGGGGGCCGAATGGTGACCCAATAGTGCCCCCAAGACGGCCCAAGAAACTTCCAAGAGGCCCCCAACACTGGCCAACCAACTCCCAAAAGGCCCCCAAGACGGGTCAAGGGGCCCCCGAGTCTGCACACGAGGGCCTCAAGCTGACCACAGAGGGCCTAAGACGCCCCAGAAGAACCCCAGAAGGGGCTTGAAGAGGCGAAAATCACGTTCGTTGTCCATCGCGCACCGCACCTTGCTGGCACTTGCGCGACAGAGACAGAAACGCGCGTCGGCAAGTTTCGATTGACGCAGCGCCGTGGATATTATACACGGGTCAACGTATGTTTATGTGTATGTATATATTTGTGGACATGTATGTGGACATGTACTTGTATCTGTGAAGGTTAATGTGCATTCTTCTGCTGATTCGTATGAACGTGGATATTTAGATGCGTATGCGAGTGTTTGTGGTGACGTATATTTGTGTATATATATGTATATATATATGTATATATATATATATATATATATGTATATATACACACATATGGTAAAATGTATATGCATATGTAAACGAAGCTATATAGATATGTATATGTAGATGCAGTTATCATGTATAGGTATAATCATGTTTCTATGTATGCGCAAATGTGTACCAGCACGTATATGTATGTATATGTGTATATGTACATTCACAGGTCTGTCATCGTATATGAGCAGCTACATGCTTGCGTACATGTAAATGAATGTATATAGCCATGCATATAAATATATACACGCGAATGCCACGCGCGTGTGTGGTAGTCACAGGTGATACTTGCTGTGCATGTGTGCGTTATCATGTGTATGTGCATGTCTAGGTTTGTGGATATACTTATGCATAACCACATATGTATATGCATGTGTAGATGTGTGCACGTGCATGAATATGTGAATGATCATGGCATCTGCAGATCTTTATGTACACAAATATACGTAAACGTTTGCAATGTGTGTATGTGTATTTGCGCACGTACAGTAACATGCCTGTGTATGGTTGCGTGCATGTATACGTACATGTCGATGTATATGCAAATTCATAGCTATATGTATATGAATAGTGGTATACCTGTGTATGTGATTATGCACATGTACATGTATGTATATATATATATAGAGATGCGTACGTATGTGTATCTGCATGTGTATGGGCATATGTAGCGATATATGTGTATGTGTATGTATATGTACGTGTATAAATGTATGTAGGTGTATATGTAGATGTACATGTAGGTGTGGCTGTCAATATGTGTATACATTCATGGTTGTGAATATGTGAATGTATGTGTATACGCAACGGTATGGTATGTGTATGTATATATACACATGTGCAAACATGTACACGTATATGAATGTCTATGCGTATGTGTGTATATCTCAGAGCGAGGGGCCGTGCAGTCATTCATTGCCCGTGGTTGCGTGGCTGCTGAAGTGGGCATCAGTGGTGAGGATTATGCTTGTTGCGCTGTTGTTTGTTGTCGTCGCCCCACCCGCGACCCACCCCGCGACCCACCCCGCGACCCACCTTCGACCCACCCCGCGACCCACCCCGCAACCCACCCGCGACCCACCCGCGACCCAACCCGCGACCCACACCGCGACCCGCCCGCGACCCAACCCGCGACCCATCTGCGACCCGCCCGCGACCCACCCGCGACCCACTTGCGACCCAACAGCGACCCATCCCGCAACCCACCCGCGACCCGCCCGCGACCCCTCCCGCGACCGCGACCCCCCGCGACCCAACCCGCGACCCATCTGCGACCCCCCGCGGCCCACCGCGACCCAACAGCGACCCATCCCGACCCGCCCGCGACCCACCCGCGACCCACCCGCGACCCACCCCGCGATCCACCCGCGACCCACCTGCGACCCACCCCGCGACCCAACAGCCACCCACCCGCGGCCCACCCGCGATCTACCCACATTTGTTTCAAGGCGCCTGAGGCGGGCTCGTTGTATAATTTGTGGAACTTGATGCCTGCGGCGGGCTTCTCCAGAGTCTCGTAAAATGCTGACGTTCCCACCGCCCTCCCGCTTTTATCCGCATCTGCGGGGTGCTACGTATGTGTATGTGTATATGTATAGATATATGTATTGCACAACTTCGACTGCACAGTATAGATTGCACCACGTAGACTGCACAACATACGTTGCTAAAGACATTCCGCTTGGGCCCATTTTATGTATTTCCAGGTTTTTCATTGTTTTGCCTCTCTGGGCCTCTGTAGAGGCCTGTTCAGGAGTATGTTGGATGCTTTTTCGGTTCTCTTGAGACGTCTTGGGGGCGTCTTCGAGTCTTGGGGGCTCTTTGGATGGTCTCAGGCCGTCTTGCAGCTGCGTTTGTTTTATTTCGCTGGTAATCATGTTTCTTTGCAGCCGCTGACCCCCATTGTGCTTTCAGCCACGACCGTGCCGGTTTCGAAGTACGCGTTGCCAGATTATTCAGGTACGGCAATTCTTCTGCGCTATATTCTCGCTCCAAATTAGATAGACATTGAGCGCGCGCGAGAAACGCGCGCAGTGAGATCGTTCGCACTCCATAGCAGGCCTTGCTCGACTTTGGCCGCAATGGGGGCCGCTATCGGGCGGGGCACCTGCCCGCTTGACGGGGCGCCCGCTGGACGCGAGGCGCCAGATGCGGGGGCCTGGCTGCAACGCGCGATCGCTCTTTGCCCGTGCGCCATGGCCCATGCCCAGACGCCCAGGGACCCGAGGCAGCTTGCTGCTGGCGGCCGCCGCTGGCTGCTGGCCGCCAATGGCTGCTGGCCGGCGCCGCTCGCCGCAGGGCGGCCGCCGCCAGCGGCCGCCGTGGGCCCCCCGCGCGCCGCGTCGCCAGAGGCCCCCGCAGCGCAGCCGCGAAGGGGCGCGCGCGTCGGCAAGGGCCGGCCTCCGCTTGCGCCGAAGCCCTCGCCCAAGCCGGTCGCGCCAGTTCGGCGGGCAAGCGCCGAGTCCGAGCCCGACATGGAGGAGCTGTGCGCGTCCTCCGACAGGGGTTCGCGCGCCGACGAGTACCAGGAGAAGGCGAGTCTCTCCCCGGCGAGCTCCGCCGACCCTGACATCTTGTGCTAGCATTTGTTTTGCAACGCTCCTTTTGATGCAATTTTTGTGTGACGTTGCAATTTGTAGCTCGCAGTTCGCAGCGTTGCATTTTTTCTTGTCATGTTGCAATGTTTCTTGCCACGTTGCAATTTTTCTTGCCATGTTGCAATGTTTCTTGCGACGTTGCAATTTTTCTTGCGACGTTGCAATTTTCCTTGCCACGTGGCCATTTTCGAAACGATTTCACATTAGCGCCGCGCACGGTCATCCGAACGAAATCCTGTTGGTCACCGTTAAGGGTTCAATTTAGTGTCGAAATCAATATGACAGCTTTCCCATTGCAATACAAAGCTCGCACGCGCGCGTCCGCGCGCGCGCGCGCGATCGGGTGATCCACGCGCGGGCGGGTCACCCGAAATCTCGTTGGTTACAGTGATACATAATCAAATTAATGTGTCAGGCCGACTTGGGAAACATCAGAAAACGCATGTTAACTTCAAAATCCAATCGATCACCGTTAAGGGTTCACTTTAGTTTCCAGACGAACATGGCGACTTTTCATTTTTTGAAGGCATGTTAACTTCAGAATCCAATCGATCACCGTTAAGGATTCACTTTAGTTTCCAGGCCAACATGGCGGCTTTTCTATTGTGGACAACACAAAACTCGCCACGCGCGCGCGCAATCGGGTGACCCGCGCACGGGCGGGTCACCCGAAATCCCGCTGGTTACCTTTAAGGGTTCAATTCAGTTTCCAGATCAAGATGTCAGATCAAGATGTCAGCTTTTTGAATATCTATATATGTATACTAATAAACTTAATTGCGCCCTCAACAGAAACCAGCGGGATTTTGGGTGATCCGCCCGTGCGCGGGTCACCCGATTGCGCGCGCGCGTGGCGAGCTCTGTATTGTCCACAATAGAAAAGCCGCTATGTTGGCCTGGAAATTAAAGTGAACCCTTAACGGTGATCGATTGGATTCCGAAGTTAACATGCCTTCAAAAATGGAAAAGTCACCATGTTCGCCTGGAAACTAAAGTGAACCCTTAACGGTGATCGATTGGATTTTGAAGTTAACATGCGGTTTCTTATATTTTCAAAAATGGAAAAGTAGCCATGTACTCCTGGAAACTAAAGTGAAGCCTTAACGGTGACGATTGGATTTTGAAGTTGACATGCGCTTTCTAATATTTTCCAAAACGCCATGTTGGCCTGGGAATGTATAAAGAATCCAACGTGACTTCGGGTGACCAGCCCGCGCGTGAGTCACCCGATCGCGCGCGCGCGGACGCGCGCGTGGCGAGTCTTGTATTACGCACAATGGAAAAGCTGCCCTGTTGATCCCGAAACTGAATTGAACCTTTAACGGTGACCAACGGGATTTCGGGTGACCCGCCCGTGCGCGGGTCACCCGATTGCGCGCGCGTGGCGGGTTTTGTATCTGCAATAGAAAAGCCGCCATGTTGGCCTGGAAACTAAAATGAACCCTTATAGGTGAAAGATTAGATTTTGAAGTTAACATGCGTTTTCGGATATGTCCCAAAAATGAAAAAGTCGCCATGTTCGCCTGGAAACTAAAGTGAACCCTTAACGATGATGGATTGGATTTTGAAGTTGACATGCGTTTTCTTCTATTTTGAAAAATGGAAAAGTCGCCATGTACTCCTGGAAACGAAAGTCAACCCTTAACGGTGACCGATTGTATTTTGAAGTTAACATGCGTTTACAGTACAACCATGTTGGCCTGGAAACTAACATGGCACCATTAACTGTTTCATATTTGAGTTTGAAGTGCCTTCCGTGTGCTAGAGGCTTCAAACATAATGCACCACCACACGCAGGTGACACGTGTCACCCGTGCGCATGGCTTGTGCCGTCCGCAATCGAAACAATCTGCATGCTTGTCTGGCAATGGAAATACATTGTACTTCCAAGAGGGGCTTTTGTTTTCGTGCATGAAACAATAAAGACAGCCAGGGGGGCATGGAAATTTTAGAATAGAAACTCTGTTAGCGGTAACATATTGGACTTTGGTATTACGCGCGCGGGTGGCGCGTGCCACGCGCGCGCGCGCGCGAGACTCCTGCATTGCCCTCAAGTCGCCATGTTGACCAACGGCCGATTTGCTTTACTGAGTTATAGCATGGGTGCACCCATGCGGCTATTGTATTGTATTGTATTGTATATACAAAAACCACATGGGTGGAATTTTCTCGAGCCCGCCCCCCTCTCCTCCGCCCTCCTGGGTAATTTCCCAACGGTCGCATTCCACCCATCCGCCCTCTTCGGTTGTTTGCTCACCGCGCGCAGCTGAAGCCCCTCGAGGGCGGCGCTGGCGCCAGCGAGCGCCGCCTCGGATCCGCGCGCGCGGCGCGCGCGGCGCGCGGCGCATGGGCGCGGGGGGGGGGGGGGGGGGGGGGGGGGGGGGGGG